AATTTGCCGAATGATTTCTCGGCTAGTTCGATAAAATTTGAGATTTGTAATAAACACCAGTAATGTAAATTGGATCGATGCAGTAGGTGCAGCACACATAGGTTTAAATTTGCGCATATATCAGTGCGCCCCGTATATATAACACGCGTATTTCTTTGTGCATATTTTTTTTTGCATTTGCGCCAATAAAAATTTTTTGAATTTTATAACACTGGTTAACACGATTTGTTAGTAGAGAGTTGTTGGGCTATAGTAGCATAGAATAGTTGGGTAGTAGGTAAGAGAGTGTTGTGTGTAGTAGAAGAAGTTAAAGATTTAAGTGAGCGGTGGTTTTGGTAGTAGAAGTTGTACTAGTTTCAGTTTGTAGGTTAATTTTTATTATGCTTGGTTGAGATTTTGTTGAAGAAGTAAAGTTGTTAGAATGTGCAGAGAGGAGATTGGGAGATATAAAGGAGTGTTGAGAAGTAGTAATTGTAGTAGTTTGTTGTAAGCTTGGGGTTGGAGAAGGTTGTGTAGCACTTGGTTGAAGTGGAGTAGTTGAAAATTTAAACGTAGAGGTTAGAAAAGGTTGAGTGATGATAAAGAAAAGTTCTGGTTGTTTAAAAATAGATGATAGAGTTTGGACTAAGTTTGAAAGTGTGAATAAAATAGATTGTTTAGCTGGTGTTTTGGGAGTGTTAGATAAAGGAGTGAGTGGTTCAAAAGTATTATTGTCAAAGAGGCATGCTTTATAATAAATATTATCTTTGTAAAAGATAGCATTTTTATAGAGGTAGTGATGGCTTTTTTTAGAAGAGAATTTGCATTTAACTGGCTGTTAGTATTTTTTGCAGTCATGTGTTTTGAGTTGTCTAGTATTAGTTTGGGTACAGGTTAGAAAATGAGGAATGAATTCAGTTATTTTGTTAAGTCTTTTAATAAAGTTTTAGTAAAAGTAGTAATTTCAGAAAGATTTTTGTTATTAGATATATAGGTATCATTGTTGTTGAAACTGAAGTGTGTATGAAATTTTTTGCTAATACAAGTAACAATAGAGATTAAAATTGGTGCTTTAAAGAAATGAGTTGCTTTATCACTGCTACAAAGATAAATAAAGCAATTACAGTCACACCCCTCTAAGTGCATCCCATTGGGACCATAGTGAAAAAAATTAAAATTTTGCACTTAGAGGGTGTTTGCATTTATAGAGAGTAAAATATATAGGACTCTTATAAGTTGGGGCCAACCTAGATCGTGCATTTAGAGAGGTTTTACATAGTACTTGCACTTAGGGGTGTGCACTTAGGGGGGTGCGACTGTAGCAGGTTTATGTTAGATGGAATGAGTTTAGCAGTACTGTAATTGTTTTCATAGATCCAAATTTCAAAGTGGTTTGGGAATTGGTTATAAAAGGTATCTAGATTGATAGTATTGGCAGTAGGCATTTTTTCAAAGATTTGAGTTAGATAGAACAAAGGTAAGATAGCTGTAAGGTGCGACAAATAAATATAGAATATGACAAATAATTATAGAGATGTGACAAATAATTATAGAGATGTGACAAATAAACACAGAGCATGACAAATAAATATTTTTTCAGAGTATGACAAATAAGCATAGGGAGTGACAAGTAATCATATGTGTATTACATTGATTTGGTTGGTGCCAAAAGGTTACTCTGTATAAATTTAATAAAGCCAAATTTGTTAAAGTTTAATTTTGTGCTAAATTAGAAAGAAATTAAAAATAGCTGGTGTAATTAAAAGAGAACCACTAATATTTAAGGCCCGGGCAGCTTCTACAAAAAACATATCTAAGTGTTTTTTAGAGGACAAAGGACAAAGGAAAAGAAAAAGAAAAGTTAAGAGAATTTAGAATTTTTTAGAAATAACTTCGTTAGTTTTGGGTCTACAAGCTTGAGCTATAGCTTGTTATAATGGAGCTGATAAGCTCTTTAAGTTTTCTTAGACTTGGTAAGGAGGTTTAGATAGCAGTTTTGAAATTATTTATAAATTTTAAGAAAAAAGGCCAGATGGCCATTTTCCAATAAGTTTAAAAGATTTGAAGCTAATACTTAAGTATTATATGTATTTTTGTAAGAAGAACAAGTTTATTTAGTAGCAAAACTAAGATTAATTTAGTAAAAAGAAAAGTTATAAGCTGTTTTTTAAATAAATAAGTTATAGAAAATTTGTGTACGAGTGATAAACGGGGAGAGTTTATATAGAGAAAGTCAAATAATATAACATGAGTACCAGGAAAAATACATTGAAATATACAGTTATATAAGATTTGAAATGGCCTCTGTTTGAAAGATCTTATATAACAAGCTGGATAAAATTGATTATTAATGTTAAAATCACGTCTCACAACATACTGCTACTTAAGTATGAAAATTTGTATTACATACATATTAAAATCATATTACTGAACGAATTCTTCGAATTATTTAATAACATTATAAATGCTTTTTTGTAAATTGTCACTGGTGAAAATTATTATATCAATATTATGGAGAGAGCCATTTAAGCAATAGAAAACATATAGGCGATGCCTTTTGGGCAAATGTTGAAAAAACTCTATTACTGTAATCCCTTTTAAAATTATTCTTCCAAATTATTATTTATATTTATAGGGATGTGCGTTAATTCAGGACGCCCGTGGGCACTAATTTGAAACTATATGTATTATTTTAGGAGTATCTAATTTTCAAATTAACGACCCTGAGCGTTATTTCGCGCTTTTAGGTAGGAAAAAAAACATAATTTTGCAGAATTTTTTTAATATGTAATTTCTTAGTGATTAATGTTATTTTTCAAAAAGAGCGATTATTTTTTCAATGTTGCGTTACTTCTGGCCCGCGACTGATATTGAATGCCAGAATCAGAAATGTAGGCAAATACGTGACGGACTAGTAAAATAAAATCAAAAACTTGCCTGTAACTAAAAATTCTACCCACAAACCAATGCAATCAAATCTGTCCAATTGATAATTTATATGTCCAAATCGGAATCTCTGTTGTGATTTTTAACTCCTCACAAGAAATTCATGAATAATACCCTGCATTACATTGTTCATACCTACCTTTATTATAATTTTTGTGTGATTATTTGTGACCGGGAATCTTCCAGTGGAAGATTTTCGGCCATTATATGATCTCGTGAGGATTATAATGAAGGTAGGCGTGAACAACATATAGTAAGGCAGGGTATTACAATTAATAACTTTATATATCCAAATTTGTCCAAACAATAACTTTTATATGTCTAAAGAAAGGGCGGTTTTGGGATCATCAAATGTGATAATTCAAAATTGATCTACACATGCTACCTAGCCGCCAATAAGCATCCAGACACATGTTTATGTTTGATCGGGGTTTGATCGTAATATCCTATCACTGTTAATAAATTTGTACTATGTACAGCTGCAATCTTAGACCTTTCACAATTTTTATTACATTTAAATATCCAACAATTTAAGAATAAAAACTGACAAATATTTGAAAATGAAGAGATTAATAGATAATTCTAAGCAATACCATAATACGTACCTTACACATTATTTTGAAAGACTTGAGACAGATGGTGCGATGATATCCAGTAATAGCTGTAAAATTTTCTCAATAAAGTATAATAAAATTATGGTTTTAAGCAAGCTTGTGTTTTTTCAAAAGTATACATTAGAGAATGTTATGAGTGATGTAAGTTACAGGTTACAGTGTATTCTAGTAAAGAATCGTAAAATTAATTATGATTAAAATGATAATACTGTTTTTTTTTATATAAAACAGTACAAAAAAGTAGAGTTACATGAAAATATTTTAAAATTTATAGCAATCATTAAACAAAGCAAAAATGAAATAATATTTATCCACGACTACGCCTCTGATGGAACACTTCGTCAATACTTAAAACAAAATTCTAGCAAATTTAATTGGTATGATAAGTTACGTCTTGCAAAACAGCTTGTTAGTGCAGTAAAGTGCTTACAAGACAATAATATTGTTCATTTAAATTTGGTAACTTTATTTTATGTGTGTTTTTTTTTTTAATTCTTAAATATCATAATATTATGTTAAATTATTATTTTTAATTATTTAGAATTCCGGAAAAATACTTGTAAATAAAGGAGATATTAAGATTAATATATTTCAAGATCAAAAAACGTTTCCGAGTATATTTGAATATATTCAGTATACAGACTCTCAATTTTTACAAAACATTGAAACTTACAAACTTAACAAAAGTTCGGATATATATAGTATTGGAGTTCTTCTTTGGGAGATTTCAAGTGGAATTATCCCATTTAAAAATGAATTATACTGTATTTCCAATTTACTAAGTGCAATTATTAATGGTAAACGTGAAGACGCAGTACCTGGAACACCTAAAAATTACATCAAGGTCTATACAGGTAAGATAACTTTATTAATATTTATATTATTAATTACAAAATATTATAATTAATGTAGATGTTTTTTTTTTCTTTTTAGAATGTTGGCAACACGATTCAAATCAGCGACCAACTATTCAATGTATTTTTAATGATTTAGATAATATTAATCATAATGATGAAGTAATATGTGATGAAAAAATATTAACAGAATGTAATACGAATGAGAACAAAGATCAATTAATATCAGGAATGGAAATTTTAAATCCAATAGAATTACTGAACTATTATATAAATTTGCGCGATAATATAGAAAATGAATTAAGGTTAATTTCTTCAATTATAAAAATCTTAAATGAAAATAGTACAGTCATTAATCAGAATAATTTATTAAATTTAACAAGCTGCGTGTCAATTTTAAATATTGTCAAAGAACATCCATTTTCTTTAGTTAATGCAAGCAAACATGATACTGTTGAAGATGAACAAAAATTTCTTTATGACTTAAACCAATTATTTATTATTCAATTTAATATACAAGGCGTTGCAAATTATTCGGAAAGCTCAATAATTTATAGTTTAAAGAAATATATGACTGAAAGTAATAAAAATCCAGAAGATATTCTCCAACAATATAATAATTACAAGTGTAAACATTATTTTACAAGCATTATTGGATTCTTTTATGAATATGGAATTGGAACAATAATTAATTACCATAAAGCATTGAAATGTATAGACAAGCAGCTGAAAATTTTACTTTATCAGGCAAATTAGACAATTTATTAAAAGAAAATCAGCTTATTGGATTGATATCACTTGGGTTACTTTATATTTATGGAAGAGGAATCATTGTAAATCAACCAAATGCACTACATTTATTATTAAAATCTGTTGTTAAAGGTTCAAGCGCTGGAGAATTTTATGTTGGGGAATGTTATTATAATGGCTATGGTATTATTAGAAATTTATCACAATCATTTAATTGGTACTTAAAATCTGCCGAGAAAGGAAATAAAAGCGCACAAAATGCAGTTGGATTTTGCCTTATGGAAGGTGAAGGAACCCTTATTGATAAAGTAAAAGCTTTTGGATACTATATAGATTCTGCAGAAGGAGGAAATTATATAGGGCAATACCGCCTAGGCCGTTGTTATCGATATGGTCTAGGTGCTTCTGTAGATGAAAAGAAAGCTATTTGAAATCAGCTAAGGGAGGATATAGTCCGGGGCAAGATGGTCTTGGTCGGTGTTATGAATTTGGCGTAGGAACTTCTATAAATAAAAAGAAGGCTTTTGAATGGTATTTGAGGTCAGCGGAGGGAGGTAATAGTTTAGGACAAAATGATCTTGGCCATTGTTATCAGAATGGCATAGGAACTTCAATAAATGAAAAGAAGGCTTTTGAATGTTATTTGAAATCTGCAGAAAGAGGAGATAGTTGGGGACAAAATCGTCTTGGTTATTGTCATCAATATGGAGTAGGAACTTCCAAAGACGAAAAGAAAGCTTTTGAATGGTATTTGAGGTCGGCAGAAGGAGGAGATAGTTTGGGACAAAACAGTCTTGGTCATTGTTATCAACATGGCATAGGAACTTCCGTGGATGAAAAGAAGGCTTTTGAATGGTATTTGAAGTCAGCAGAAGGAGGAAACAAAAATGGAAAAGTAAATCTCATTAAATGTTACCAAAAAGGTATAGGAACTTCTTCGGATAATAAAAAAGCTCAGGAATGGTTGAATAAAGGAAATATAACCTTTACTTGGCTTTAAGAGTACGACAAGAGGGACATCGCATTAATCCATTGAGTTTTATAACCTGAATAAATAATTTTATATTGGTTATAGAAAACAAAGTTGTATTATAATAAATATTGAACAGAGAAAAGTGAGCATTGGCATTGTAATAGTTTGTGTAGGCTTTAGGTTTATAAAGGGACATTTGTATGTACGCGTTTCTAACAGATAATAAATATAATACCATAATCCAAATGTATACATATTTATATATATTGAATGCCCAATTAACTTTTTATTTCTAGACATATACTGTTCAAGGTGTATGAACGCTTTTACTCTCTTTATATCTTTTATTCACCTGTAGGAAAAACGAGAATAATTTTATATATGTATCATCGGGTTTAAAAGTCAAGATAATAAATAGTATATTTTTATTTATAATAGTCAAGAATAATCCTTTGATCACACAATGATCAATTTAAAATATACTGTATTTTAAACTAATGCATGAGTTAATAAACAAAAAAGCCACATATGGTGCAAGTACTGAAGTATAGACAAAGTCATGAGGATTATTATTCAATCAGTTGCAAAGAGATACAACACTTCACTCGCCAGTAAACGTACACTAATACTTACTACATATTTGGTATACAGTGTGAGACCCGAAACCCGTGATCGATCACGTGAAAAATGCACGAAATGCACGAAGTGCAAATAATGCCATTTATGAT